CTATATGGAAGATTTTATAACGCCATGTGTTATTAACATATTTTTGCTGTTTCGGCAAGTAAGTGGTCACTGATCTTTTGAAGCAGCAGGGTCAATAACACAGGACATTATCAAAATCATCCATACATCCTGCAGTTATTTAAAACTTTGGGAACAGTAAAAATCTACAACATATCAAGAATATATATGGTCCACATATTTTAGTTCTTTGTGATTAATGAATTAGTGATGAAAAATAAATAAATAGTTATCGTTAATGACTGAAAGGATAGCATGTTAATGTTTCGTATTTTGTCCTCCAGCATTAAATTTATTTTTTCTTATAGACGATAAAAGATAACGGATAGTGGATAACGGATAACATATAATGGATCACAGATTAACACATAACAGACGACAGTCAGACGACGGATGACGGATGACGACGTTTAGCTTGACAATTGTTTTATATACAGGGTGACTTCGAAGTTGAGTCATTTATTTTAACAGTGAGTAGATCTGATCAAAAGGAATGTTTTTTTCCTTTAACATTTTTCTGGTAAAATTAAAGTAACAAAGGTATAGCCCTTTAGAACTTTGAGTACCGCCCTGTCTCAATAATAATATTATGTGCTCGTGTGTGGCAACAACGGATATAATCCGTCTTATCGGTTCATCGCATCGGAAACAAAAAAGCGAAAGAATTTGGAACGATGTTTTTACAATTATTTTATTCAGTTGTATACAGTCAGTGTCAGTCGGTAACGCGTGAGTGAATAGTGGTGTCTGTTGCGTGGCTCAAACGAAATCAAAAATGGCACATGTTTACGAACATGCTGAACTTGTGGACATGATTCTTATTTACGCGGCATCACGGATTTATGCGGATCGGTTTCCCAATCGAGTGCAACCAACCCCTCGTGCCTTTGTTAATGTAGTACAAAGGGCTCGTGAATCAGGTGACTTAAGACCTCACAGGGGAGGGCATGCCGGTGCTCCAAGACCGCACGATCAAATACAGGTCCGCACTGAAATACTTGTCGGGAGGATACTTTATAAAACAAGGTAACATTTTTTTTTAATTTTTTTTTATTTTTACACACATATTTTGGTTTATCTTCCTTCTACAATCATTATCTGAAAATTAATGACTCAACTTCAAAGTATAACAAAAAAAAAATGAGCACTCGAATCGTCAAAAGCAACAATCCAACAACCTAAACAAGGAGAGATAACGGAATAACTCCCCAAAGCTCCCAACGGCAACAAGGACGAAAGGCAGGTAATAAGGAGAGCCAAGAAACTGAAAAAAAAGTTTACCCTCAAGACTCACCAAACAAGAAGAGTAAGAGATAGCATTACCCGGCTGAAGGATGCACAAACAAATACCACTGTGAACAGCCTACCAGAAAATACCGGGCGTCTACGGCGGGGCTGAGGTGAAAGTACTGTAGCAGTGGCGAGTTTTTGCCAACCATGTTACGGGGGCGGCAAATTGAGCGAAAGATGCGAAATTCATGGTTTTCGAAACTTACGACCCCAGATTTATATATAAAGCCAATGTGGCTTAGTTCCCTGTTGCCCTTTAACTGGCATGTGTTTGCACTCATTTAAAAGAAAGCGCAACGCAGTTGAAAACAAACGGACAATCCTGAAAAGTTTATTCTGTTAATAGGCGGTCATATTATAAGGGTTGTTCGTTCTATGTTTGTATAGCAGTTCTCGGTAATACCCTGGCAGCTTTTCATTGTTTGTAGCTTCATAACTAGAATGGGTCGATTTAAACATAACCTTAGGCTGTTTCATCCGACTCATCCCCTGACATATACTTATTAAAGTTTGGAGCTTTGGGCATTGTTTTATTAACTAGAACAGAATGGTTATAGACGTTTTAGATTTAGCTGCTCGATGGTGTGAAAACAGTTGAAGGGTGGGGATTTCGGCGACAAGTTGACATTTGTAGATAGAGTCAGCAGGTTTATGAGAGTTTAAGCTACATTGATAATAGCGTAAAACGAGTTATCAGGCAACTAAATCCGATCCTCTGGAATAAGAAAGTTAATAACAAAGTGAAGCGATCTATATATAAAACTATTGCAGAGAGCATTAGTACGTATGGAGCTGAGGGATGGGAAATCGGAGATAAAGTCAAAAATCGACTGTTACCGTATCCGGATGTGTGGGCATGGGTATCTACTTTTGTAGTTTCATATGTGCATTCATTTCGGGCCTGATGAAGCCAACCAGCAGAAATACGTATCGCTCGGGTTACCTATCCTATTTTCTGGTCGAATTCACTTTCCTCCTTTTTGCGGATTTTGCCCATTATTTTCCTACTTGTTGTTATATACTTTTCTCCGCATGGTCATATTCTCTTTGTAGATCCTTTGGGCTTGAAGTACCACAGCAAGTGGCTATAACCGGCCGCGTGGTGGTGGTTAGACGTCTCCTTGAAAATTCGAGGTCGTATAGCCATTTTATACTACAATGTGTAGGTTGGCTCTTGTTGTGGACTTCGGGTGTCGTTTTCTTTCCCCTCCAACTTCGTTTCCTCGGGTTACACCCGTATCCGGATGTGTGGGCATGGGTATCTACTTTTGTAGTAGCATATGTGCATTCATTTCGGGCCTGATGAAGCCAACCTGCAGAAATACGTATCGCTCGGGTTACCTACCCTATTTTCTGCTCGAATCCACTTTCCTCCTTTTTGCGGATTTTGCCCATTATTTTCCTACTTATATATATATATATATGTATGTTTGTGTACGTAGGTGTTTACCATTTGCAGGATTATCCATGAATTTCCGGATGAAAAAGCCAATTCTGGTAGCTTGACTCTGTATCTCGTCCGCATTTGAATGTTTGTACAGGTATCTAATAACATTAAAATGCTCGGATGAAGATGCTAAAAAAATTAAATGGCTCTCCTGAGAAATTCACATTTGTCACTCACCCTGTTACTCGATGTGTGTGTGTCGATATCTAATTTCTCTACGACAACGTGTTCAAATGGCAAATTGATCTGATCTAAAGTTTCCTGAAGACTTCCAGCGCGGAGTACCAAATGGCAAATAATCTGAATAATGCAAGGATTGGATAAACAAGGGGGTATTTCAAAAGCTTCGGTTAAGTGGAAATTTACATAAATCTTTAAGAAAACGATAAAAGACGCATTTCCAGAATGCGGCATTTCAATTACTCTTTTTTTATGTTCTCCAAGATTTCTCTAATTAATCACATCTTTTGGCAGCGATCGCTCTACACTGCGTGCCTGATTAATTAATTTTACATTGAAATTTGCTTCTCCTCATTCTGCAAAAAAATGCAAACTGAAGCCGATTGAAGGGAACGTCTCCACGGCTTACATACCAGGATGGATCAATTGTAACTCAAGGGCTAGACAGAACTGCTTGCCAAGATTTTTGCTGCCAACTCCACCGTGGAATTCTTTCTAACGCCCGAGTGCCCTGGATTCAAAGCCGGAAGTAACCTTAAGAAGATACAATTTTCTGATACACTTATTACATACCTTTTACACAGTTCCAGCACCGAAATTACGAATCAAATAGTTCGTCGCTGCTCTTGAATTTGTTCCTGGACTACATTTGGATATCCATTTCCATTTTACATTTTTCTGGTAAAATTAAAGTAACAAAGTTATAGCCCTTTAGAAGTTTGAGTACCGCCTTGTCTCAATAATAATATTATGTGCTCGTGTTTGGCAACAACGGATATAATCCGCCTTATCGGTTCATCGCATCGGAAACAACAAGAATTTGAAACGCTTATCACGATGTTTTTACTACAATTTTATTCAGTTGTATTCAGTCAATGTGTCAGTCGGTAACGCGTGAGTGAATAGTCGTGTTTGTTGCGTGGCTCAAACGAAATAAAAAATGGCACATGTTTACGAAAATGCTGAACTTGTGGACATGATTCTTATTTACGGGGGGGGGATCGGTTTCCCAATCGAGTGCAACCAACCCCTCGTGCCTTTGTTAATGTAGTACAAAGGGCTCGTGAATCAGGTGACTTAAGACCTCACAGGGAGGGCATGCCGGTGCTCCAAGACCGCACGATCAAATACAGGTCCGCACTGAAATACTTGTCGGGAGGATACTTTACAAAACAAGGTAACATTTTATCTGTGGGGTATCGAGATTATGGATCAGTTCAAGAATCGGATTATTTTGTGCCACCTTAAGCTCCTCATAGCAGCCGCAATTCCCTGGTATTTAGGCTTCTACCTACTGGGATTCTTCTGTATATAATACACGGACACACAGTCGCTGGTACGAAGAACGAATGTTATCAGTGACTTACCTTCAATGGGGTTATGTCTGGGCTTCTGCATCAAATCTGAAACAAAAAAATTTAATGTATAGCTGTTTTTCAACAATTTGTTCTGAATTGAAAGTCTCGTAATCTGATTTCCTCAAAGCTTTGTCCCAAATTGCCTTGGTACCAATAAAACGAAAGCCCTGTAGTTGGCCAATATGGCTGAGGGACATTTGGTGGTCATATATTTCAAATTATTTGATTAAGTGCATCAGAAATGGATTCTCAACCAGTGCTAAAATTTTCATTAGCCATTACTTACATAACAATACTCTTAAATTACATTATTATGTGCAGGAAATAGATGTAAAAAGACAGTTTATAGCCCCAATTACAAAAACTATTGAAATAGAGGCAGTAACACTTTTAAGCGCAATTAAGGCAAGAGATGCAATTTATTGCAGTCGTATATTGGGCTCTAATTGTGAGACTACTTACCAATAAGAAACCGTTATTTCCAGAGGAACTTTTACTTGCATAATACAGAGCGAGAATAGCAGTTCTAGAAACATAGGATAGGATGTCTCCTGAGCCTGGGGCAAGGGCTCAAAGGGGATCATTTGGGATAGAGGAATGTGCTTTAAGGATGGTTTATGATATGTACATCACGAAAAATCTCTATACTAAACGTAAAAAATCAGCATCAAGATTTTGAAATGGGTTTCTAGCACTCTAGACCTGTCACCTATTGAAACTTTGTGGCACGAGATGAAAAACGTTCTACGACAACATTCTGCTCGTACAATCACCGAACTGAGACAAAAGCTTCATGAAATATGGGATTGTTTTACACCAAATTTTTGCCAAAACTTGGTTAACACTATGCCCCAAAGAATTTCAGCCGTAATGAAAAATAAAGGTGATGTTACCTAATGGTAATCTGTCAATTGTTGCTTTGTTAACATTTATTCGCACATTGCTTACTTGTTCAGATGTTCTATTAGTTATAGGTCTAAGTGATTTCAGATATGTATTTTTTACGACTAGAGTGCATCTGAAATGTTTTTGAGAAAATAGATTGTTTTAGAAGTAAATAGTTTCGTCTTGTTTAGTTTATAAAGGCATATTTTGGTACAAATCTTGAAGCTGAGGTGGGAAGGGGCTCGTACAGTTTTATCAGCATGAAAACCGCAGCATAAGTTTCGAAGACTGCGATAAATGTAAGATGCCTTTGTGGCCTCCTTGATTTTCAAAGCCCTTTCTCAGCATGAGCAATTTGACGCAAATAGATATTTGTAACATAACCTCAAAATAGAGCGCTGACGTGGAACAGTAGAAAACTATGAAAATCCAGGCCATAAAGGCGTCCTACAATTGCAGGACCGACTGACGATATGGCGCTTAGTGTTCCACCAATACTAGAAAAATCCTATTCTCATTTCAGACGCTCCGGTGCCTTTTTGTCCTGGCGAAAATGTACGCTATATACATTTTTCATGCAATCTAGGTATTTATATAACTTTATATGTGCTCTAAAACCGGCGTTCGCGCGCTTCTGCTAAAATTTTAAACGGTGCATTATCATACTATGGCTCGCTGTGACCGGCTTCAACTTTAAACCTGTTTAGACAGTATTCCACAAAGTTTCATACAATCATTATATCCGAGAATTAATGTTATACGAATTAATTAAAGGGTATCTTTTCTCGGAAAATATGCTTCACTTGGGAAGGAGCTCACCCCCATTGTGCCATCAGCCTATCAATAATACTTACAGATAGGGTAACTTTAAAGCTGAAGATTTGGTAACAAGTTACTTGAAAAGCTATGTTTTGCTCACTATGCCACTGGGCGAGGAAGTATTTTGATCGCGAAAGATTCAAACATTGAGATCCTATGATTTCTAGATGTTATATGACATATTCGGAAAACCAAGCCACTTATTTCCGTCGGTCTATCTATGTCTCTGCCTAGTTTTTTGGAGTCGCTCTAGTGGCTGAGGAACACGAGACAACAAAACTCGTTCCTTGCGTTATAGAGGCTCCTGATCATTTTCAGAATGTTTGTATGGCTTGAAATTCGGAGGCTGGGGTTGGTTATTATAACCATATTCCATACATTATAGTTTTTTCCATACATTTGTTTTTTGCCCGGATACTCCTGCTATCTAAGCTCACTGCCTGGCATGCCGGAAGGGCTGACTGAACTATCCGTACTGCAGTACACAAAACGTCTCACCACTTAATTTACATACCTCATATATCAGGTAACCAAATAAGTTGCTGTGTATCGCACATTGCCATGGATGTTGTTGATCGATAGCGATTGTTTGTTACCTGTTGTCACTTTAGTATGAATCCTTCTTTTCTCAGAACTTGCAGAAATGTTCAGAGTGAGTCCTGAAACTATTCGTTTGCATCTTCATCAGCTAGGAAAGGTGTGGAAGTTAAGCCAATGGGTCCCACATGAACTGACAAATGATAACAAATTAAGTCGTCTTACCATTTGTTGACGTCCCTCGTACCTGATACATTGCATACCCTTTGTACACATTGTTAAGCATTGTCTACATCTTGACGTAGACAATTAATGTATACTACGAATCAGGAGTGAAGCAAGTGCCAAACCCCTGTATACATATATAGAACATGCGCAGTTCGTGTTGTATTTCGTCGAGGGAACTTCCAATGTAGGTGAAGTATATAGGTATATAAAATCACCTCCCGGTTGTGCACATCGTAAATATTTGCTCTAAATCCACTTTGAAAATGCATTCCTCTAAGATTTCCAGGGGAAAAAAGGATCCTCACTCTTAAGCAAACAACTGGAGATGCTTCCGCGTAGTGAATTATATCATCTCTCCACCTCCTCTCCAAAGCTATATAACAATTCATCATCTCCTTTATTAACCTGCTCATGACGGTAAATAGTCTAGTCGAATTACCATCGAAAGATAATTTTACTTACTAGACAAAGCGACAAGTGTAGAGTAAACTCATCCAGTCTTATGATAAGGTTCATTTCGTATTATGGAAACTTCCATCCTATGTCCTTCCAGAGAACCTTTGCAAATTGTAGGCTGACATCTTCTCTAGTCTACGAATACGTCATAATTGACGGTTACTGTACGCTCAATCCAATCCTCAACACTCTACAGAGTGACAAGAAGATGTCTTCCGGTGAACAGGCAAAATGGAGACTAGCAACCTCTTTGAATGAATGAATCTTGAAATTAGAGGCATTCCGGCCACCATAAGGAGCCAGTGCATAGGCCGCTTAAGCGGGCCCTTATGCACCTCTACAATCCTTAGATCACAAGCCTCGCCCTTTTAGCGAAGTTGAGAATCGCCTTGAGTCCAAGCTCCTTGATGTCCTGAGGGTCCAAAGTAATGGACCCCAGTATAGTCTGCCTATAGTAGCTCAGAGCTTCACAGCGACGCAAAACGTGCGCCGAGGTCTCTTCCTCTACCCCGCAGCGTTCACACAAGGGATCCTCAGCTACCCCCATCACGTGCAGGTGACGCCTTAAAGTGTTATGGCCAGACAACAGTGCCACCAGCAACCTTAGGTTGGCTCTATCCAGAGATAGGCAGAAGCGTTCATCCTTAGCACTGGGCCCTTCAATGAGTTCCCGTGCCTTCCGAGAGTGTTGTCTTGCAACCCACGTCTCCATTTTCCGCCTAGGTTTCTGCGCGGTTACTCCTAAAGCTGGCTCAGGACCAACGAGCTTGCTGGCTGATCCTGTCTTCGCCAGAGTGTCCGCCGTCTCATTGCCCCTTAGTGCTTTCATTGCAGCCTGGCTGTCGGATAAGATTGTTATTCTTCTCCTAGGCTCACTCTCCTCCAGAATGTAAGATACACAAGCCAGAGTCGCAAAGATTTCCGCCTGGAAAATAGTGGTGTATCCACCGAGAGGCAGAGATACCCTAGTTGAGAGGCCCAGAGACCCCAGCACCTGAGGCCTCTTCGGTGACCGGACCTGCCCGCTCACTCTGGGGAGTCCCCGGCTACCGGCGTCCCACTCCTCCCTCGTTGGATACTCCACAATAAACTTCCGGTTGAAGCGATATTTAGGGGTAATACGATCACCCCTGCTTAGAAGGATGGGGTCCTCCCTTTGTAATTCGCCTATGATGGCAGTATGCCCCTTGACAGGATTCAAGAAAGCCCAACTGCCCTTACTCCACAGTCGATGAGCGACTAGTCTCGCTTCACCGCGGATCACCAGATTGAACGGTGGGAGATCCAACAGAGCTTCCATTGCACTCAATGGCGTTGTTCGCACTGCGCTTGTAATACTAATACAGGCCAAACGCTGAATTTTATTGAGTTTGGTCTTAGTTGTCTCAGGTCTAATGCAAGGCCACCAGACCAGGGAGCCGTGCAAGAGAGATGGACGTACTATCGTCGTGTAGAGCCGGTATACCACTTTGGGCTTAAGCCCCCACCTTACCCCGACAATACGTCTACAAGCCCACATCGAATTACGAGCCTTGCTAACCTTGTATTCAACATGCAACCTCCTTACTCTGCATAAGGTCCAGGTCCATCGAATGCTGCTCGCATGTTTGGGGTGCTGCCACCTCAACTACATGAGGGTTGCCCGGTTTTGTGTCCAGTGTTATTTCTGCTCTACTTTACAATATTGCAAGCTGCGTCCTACTGGATCCTAATGTGACTGGTCCATAACCTGTTCATGAAGCTTTATGAGAGGGGCGAGGGTGTTTTCGTATAAGGTATTTCAAGAATTAGTGGTGTAGCTAGAACTTACTATTGCTCTTCTGAACTAATGTTGCTTACATTATCATAAGAGCGGCTGGTTGTTGCCGGATTTTACAACCCCTGATTTATTGAGCTCTGTAATCGGTCAGCAGAACAAATTGGTAACGCGTTTCATATTTTATTAGCTCAAATTTACGATCATAAACATGTCAAGTTAACTCTTTGCGGTCAGCTTTACCTCTTTATTATGGAATCGTTCATTTGATAATATAGATAGTTTCAATTAGCACTAGCAAATATAATGTGACAATTCAAATAACATATAGTATAAACTAAACATGCTGCTTTTGTCCGTCCAGTCAAAAAAAGATAGACAGATGTTTCGTGCTATTTGACTACTCATCAGTATGGTGTACGCCTGGTCTCTCGGACAACAAACGAAAGCATAGCAAATATACAGTATCAAAAGTGTGAGATCACTAAGTATGTTCTACTACACAGTCGGTCATCATTGGTAGTATAAATGGCAATATTGGCTTGATGATGCAGGCTAGAGAAGAGATCTGACCTACAACTTGATACCTTATTCCTCGATTTGTCAATTTACACAAATCAGACACTGTTTGAACATGTAACACTAAGCCGGTTTTGACATTTACGCCTCCTATGATCCAGTTGTGTAAACTCTTTGAAACATATACAGGGTGATCGAAAAATAGACGGAGGTGTTTTAAAGGGTGGTTATTTGTAAAAAAATATGAAAAAAAACTCTCTATAGACATGGGTCCGGAGATGCGGAGTTTTCAAAATACAGGGTGGTAAATTTAGTTTTTTTTAACAATATCTTAAAAAATATTTACTCCGTTGAAATTTGGCAATTTTTTTAATTTTGTTTTCCAATGCATTTTTTAGCAAAAATGAATAAACCAATTTTGTTCAGTGACACGAAAAAAATACAATTGGCAAAGAATATGTATTTTTAGATGCTTAATCAAAGGACAAACATCAAAGTTACAAGCAAGGTAGTGGCGAACATTTTTGTGCCAATAGGGTGCCCCCGGGACTCCACTGGTCCTAATAATTTTAATATATTTAGGGCTAAATTAGCCTCTTAATACAGCAAATATTATTGCCAAATTTCGACATAATCGAGTAAATATTTTTTAAGATATCGATGAATAAAGAATTAAATTTAACACCCTGTATCTTTAAAACTTTGCATTTCCGGACTAATGTTTATAGAAACTTTTTTCCGTGTTTTTCACAAGGTATATCGCTGTCTATTTTGCAACTTTTGCATAGTATATCACTCAATATACAGGGTGGCCCATTCATGTGTGGACGGAATATTACTCATAAACAAATACATTTTGGGGAAATCTATTTATGGCACGTTATACATGACATTT